TGGTAGTGTGTTATGCTTAGATAGTTTTTGTGTTCATTCTGTAGGTTGAATGATTATTTACCGTAGTAGATTACCGGTAACCGTGAGTCAGACAGCGAAGCATCATGAGGACCTGTGACGATCACGCAATCAGTATGTGTGTTGAAAGCAAGCCAAAGTCTATGAAACGCAGTGTTTCCCCTATCATTATACAAGCGGGGTGCCCCTCCCCATCAACAGAACCGAGCGCCCAGCCATTTGAACCCCCCACACCCCCACCCAAACCACCTGTTGGCACCGATGTAACACTAAACTAGCGGCTGGCAATGCAGGTATGCTAGCTAAAAGGCTAAAGACAGCATTTTCCCTCTTGCTAAACTCTCACACTGACATCCCCCCACCCCACACACACTCAAAAACTGTTGGTACAAACAGCGCACACGTCTCCCCCCCCCCCACACTCCCCAAAACAAAACAAAAACAAAACACAAACTGTCGGTACAGACAGCGCACGGCTGAGATGTGTCTCTGTCTCTCTCCTCTTCCTCACCCCTGCTCTAAAACTGTAAAACTGTGAGTGCAAAAAGCGCCTCTGTCTCTGTCCCCCCACCCTCTAAAACTGTTGGTATAAACAGCGTGCTGTGCTGCCCAGGACATGTCTTCGTCCATACCACCCCCCCACCCCGATAAAAATCACGGACGAGATGAGCGCCCCGCCATGGCATACTATATTCAACCAAATCATAAAATGTTAATCATTTCAACTGATGAAATAATATTTATTGGGTGACCATATCACTTCCTACTAATAATTCTTATAGCTCTTTTTTGTAAAATGAAAATAGGGTTTGTAATTGTTTTGCATGCTTTTCCACAAACGTCAATACAATAGATTTATATGGATCAATCATTACATTATACAATATATACAAAGCTTTATCATTCAAAAACTCTTTTACTTTATACAGTAATGCAATTGATTTTACTATTTTTATTATTAAGTAATTTACATGATTTCCATGTCAGCTTCTCATCAATAATGACGACACCCAACAATTTTATTTCATTAACTCTATGAATTTCAATACTGTCAGTTTTAAATGGGACTTTATACATTTTATTTCTATTACTAAATATCATGTAATTTGTTTTTTCCAAATTTAATGATAACTTATTAAGTTAGAACCAAGTTATAAAAACAGAAACTCCAAAAAGTTTCACAAAAAATAAGAAACAAAAAAATGCGCAATAAAATTAAGGGGCAACAAGCGTTTCTTCACTTTGTCGTTTTAGAAAACCTAAAAAAAAATAATGGTGGAACAGTTTTAACTGGGAGATCTGAATTAATTTTAAATAACCTCCCATTTAAAAATGTTAAAAAGAACGTGTTTTGGGTGAGTGAACTTATTAAATACCTTGTTTCTGAAGTAAACTTCAATGGGCAGGATGAAGCCCGCATATCCAGACTCCTCCACTTTATATGGTGGATCCTTGCAGACTGAAAAACAAGAAAAAACATGTTCTTTAAATAAACTACAACTTGCAACCACAAATTAACTTCAGCTCAAGAAAAAAAAACAAAAAAACAAACAAACATAATTTTAACAGTTTTTTGTAATATCACTATTGTTAATTTAGAATGTGAGAACAGAAACAGAGCTGAGCTCCAAATGAACAGTTTTCTGAAAAAATATAAAAAGTGGAATACAAAATGCCACAAAAAGCCAACTGCAGTCCTGCAGGTCTAATTTACATTTTTTTTACCAATAAGTCTATTAATCAGTGAAAGGCCAGGTATTCCTTGAAAGAATGCATATCACCCGCCGCCTTTCATACCAGAGCTTTGGACTAAAATCAGTTGAGAAATTATCATTTTTTTGTAAATTCGTGGGGAGAAAACAAGCACAATCTCAGTCATTATACAGTATGATCTGTTAGTGGCTGGACTATATGTTGTAAATGGTTGCCAGGTAATGCCACACTAAATTTTAGCTCATTATCCAAAATTGACTGAAGTGTAGCCATAAATACTAGCAGAGTGGACACAGGCCAGCCAGTGGAAATTACAGTAAATGCTAAGAATGTTGTACTTTGTACTTAAAATCACAATCAATGAAGGAAAATGTGTTAAAAGAAACTACATTCTACTGAAAATTAACAACCAATCTGGGTCCAGATAGTTTCCTAACAGAACATTTTGTTCACAGACTGCAGGTTTACTTGTGGTTCCTAAAGTTTCCAAAAGCAGAATGGGTGGCAGATCTTTCAGTTATCAGGCTCCTCTCTTGTGGAACCAAGTTCCAGTTTCTGTCCGTGAAGCTGACACATTGTCCAGTTGAAGACTGGACTTAAGATTGTCCTTTTTGATAAATCCTATAGTTAGGGTTGGCTTGAGTTTCCTGAGCTGTCCCTTAGTTATGCTGCTATAGGCTTAGACTGCTGGAGGACAAACTGACCACATGTCCTCTCTCTGCTGCTGTCTTTACTTACTCTACTCAACCTGTTAGTATTTGTAATTATTTCTATCTTAACATGTTATTTGTCTTTCCTCCTATAGAAAGTTCATCTGGACCTGTCATTCTGTGTCCGTCTCTCCTTACTGTCCTCTCAAACCCAGCCGGTCGAAGCAGATGGCCACTTGTTCTGAGTCTGGTTCTTCTGGAGGTTTCTTCCTGTTAAAAGGGTGTTTTCCTCTCCACTGTCTCCTTTGTGCTTGCTCAGGATGGGAGACTGATGAAGTGAAGATTCAACACAATCTGCTGCTTCCTTAGATAGAGAACTTTTACTATTTGGCTTTTTTGTGCATGTGAATGTTTTTGTACAGTACCCTGAGACAACTTCAGTTGTGACTTGACTCTATGTCCTGTAAATAAACTGAAATGAAATGAGCATTTTGATGAATCTGACCACAAACAAACAAAACACAACATAAAAAAATCCCTGAATTGTCTTTTAGTTCCCAGTTTTATGGCTCAAACTTGTTCCTAAATTGTATTGATACTTTAATGTAGATGTTAGACAGTTACCGGTTTAAGACTGCAGCTTTATGTTTTAATAGACTGGTGCTTGTATTAAAACTGTTCACATCGGGAAAAAAATCAAGTAACAATGTTTTTTTTCTGCGTCAATTAATGCACTCAGTTAGTAAACGTTGCACTATTTTCTCATGAGATCTCATTAACGCTCTTTTCTAGAGCCAGCTCTGATGTGCACACAAAAAAAGCCTAGGCTTCCATTAGAAGCAGAGCTTTTAAAGCTGATGACAAGGTCAAGACTTCCCTGCTGCACCCTGATGGGACTTTAAAGACAAACAAGCTCTACCTGAGCTCAGGTGCTTCTCCCTGGAGCAGCGTGTTTGTCAGACTGTCCCTGTGGGCTCCACAGAGAAAACGTCCAATTAGCTTCATGTATGTGGAAACCTACGAGTGGTTCCTGGAGGAATAACTGAAAGCAGGTATTAGCACTGGGTCGTTTATGCTTCAAGCTCTCTCTAAAAACAACTCGTGAATCCAACCTGACCTTTAATATAAACTGAAGTTATTGTTTTCTAGAAGATTTGTTTTTCCGCACAGACAGACATGAACTAAAACAAAGTGAAAGTGAAGTGAATGTGTCCCTTTCACCTTCAGCAGCAGACGAAAAACAACAAGTAAAGGTTTTATTCAGTATTTGTTCTAATTAAACTAAAGGGCAAAAAAAAGTGTTCACGTTTAGAACTGTCAAATAAATCTCATCAGCTTAATTTATTACAAAACCAAATTCCAAATTCTCATTAGGCTTAAATTAGTGAAGCTGGTTTATGTTGGATTTTCAGACAATAGACATGTTCTCGTTTTGATTCCATACCTGAAGTGGACACCTGAACGTACAGCAGAGCCTCACAGAGTTTGTTTCGTAAGAATACAGCGAACAACGAGTCTACCAAGAAGACCTCCAGAACTTCTACAGTCTGGTCCCTTTAGCGCTCTATGACTTGATTTTTCAGAAAGAAGCAGTGACTGATGGTTCAGCTGACCATGCTGAGGTCACCTTCTCAACCATTCAACCCCCAACACCCCTGAACAAATATTATGGGTTAGCAAGAGTCACATTTAGTTACGTCCTGCAGAAAGACTCCATTCACCCAGACACCTTTTTGTAACCTGAGGTGGGAGAGGAGAGTTCAAGGATGTAAACGGTGCAAATGATGGGCTCTTTCTTTACTTGAATGGTTCACTGGATAATTATGACACAATGCTGTTTTTTTTTTTTTTACAATAAAGACCACAAAATGTTCTGTGGATTTAGACTAATATTCAGAATAATGCCATAAACTATTTAAACCTGTTTTAAAAGAAATATGCTGCAAGTCAGGAAGAGAACTGTAGAAGCTAACAGCCCTGCATGCAAATCAGGACAACCACACTAGATACATCAAATATGTAAAACAATGATTTCTAGATTAATAAGACTTGTGGCTCCTTTTACACATTAACTAGGTCTAACTGGTTTAACAATGTCTTCACACACAATGAAAAACAAACAAAAAACTGTCACGTGAGTAAAAGTACATGAACCACCATCAGATAATGTGATGAACACGTCTCACATCTGCTTATGTTGATAAATACTTAATGACGTCAAATGTTTCAGAAATAATTATCAGCCTATAGCTACTGATGTGCACGGCTCCGCACGCTCATATATAACAAGCGGTACGCTGATCTCCCCATTGCTGAGGGATTTGAAGTGAACGTTTTTAGTATTTATCATGTTTGTGGAAATCTGAACCCAAGAGGCAAACAAAACTCAGAAGGCTTGGCGGTAACAAGGAAAACTGATTTAATAACAAAAAATTAAAATGTTGAAGTGGCAGCTTACAAAAAGAGAACCTCTGAAACACGAGGTTGGCAGAAGAATGCATAATGCACAAATGAGGAACGAACAGAAAGACAGAGAATATAAAGGAATACCAATGAGGGAGAGAATGGCAAACACCTGGGGAGGTACGAGGATCAGGTGAGGGGGGCGGGGCAGGAGCAAGAAACTGACTGAGGTAAAACACAGGTAACACCTGAAACACATAGGTAATATAAAATAAACCACAAAGGGAGACAGACAAATTGCATTTCCTGTGAAAATGCATTGTGAATGTTTATTACTGAAGAAGTTGCAAAAAACAGCTGAAATTAGCTAAAAATATTCTGAATTGTAGCTGAAATGGAGGAACAATCCTAAGATGACAAAAAACAGCAGAAAGAACACATATTTACAGAATTTGGTTTAAATAATCAGAAATGAGCACAAAAGTTAGAAGAAGCACAAAAATGTTGCACTTAGCAGAAATAATCTGAATGGAGAACCAAACAGCTAAAAAAAACAGCTGAAATTAGCTGAAAGTAGCTGAAAAAAAGGTTAAATTTGCAGAATGAAGCTGAAAGAAGCCGAAGCAGAACAAAATGTGAAAGGAGCAGTAAAAGGTTGTAAACACATCTAAAGATTTTAAGGATGTAAATGAGCTCAATTCATTTTCTATGAGAAAAAAAATGGCCAAAAAGGCTAAATATTTGAAAAAGCTAAAGTTGCACCAATACTAAAAGTTGTAGCAGGACTGTCCTGAAAGAGCTGAATGATTTGATTTATGATTTGTTGAAATAGCACAACTGCAGGAGAAGAATCGTGCTGAAAAACATACGGAAGAAAACTGGATCACAACAGTGAGAATGCTTCATAAACGTTCACATAATAAATCTAAACACAAACTCAAGGAACTACTAAAGAAGTAACAGAAAAACAGATCCTGACAGTTTTCAAGATGAGCGTTTTTCTTTACTGGAATCCAACAAGGAATGTAGGTAAACAACAAAGTCCATGCTCAATAATCCAGGAATACAATCCAACAATTTTCAGTCAGGTCATCTGAACAAGAGGAGGGGGCGTGCCAAAGACACCATCTTGGCACCAACATGGCTGGTTTGTTCCACTTTGGAGTAAGCTGTTTGGAGAGGAATCAGTTTTGTTGTGTTTCCTTGACTGATGAAGCCTTCCGGATGGAAGGTGAAACGTTTCAGCAAAAAAAGAAACTATCCAGACTTCAGTAGTATTTTTAGTATGTTTTTTTTGTAGTATTTTTAGTATGCTTTTAGTATTTTTGTAGTATTTTTAGTATGTTTTTAGTATTTCAGTAGTATTTTTAGTATGCTTTTAGTATTTTTGTAGTATTTTTAGCATGTTTTTAGTATTTTAGTAGTATTTTTAGTATGCTTTTAGTATTTTTGTAGTATTTTTAGTATGTTTTTAGCATTTTAGTGGTATTTTTAGTATGTTTTTAGTATTTCAACAGAATTTTTAGTATGTTTTTAGTATTTTTGCTGCATGCTTTGGTATTTCTTGTTGAGTTTTGTTTGGCGAGTCGAAACAGTTCTATGCTCGTTTGGATTTCATTGCATTGTTGACCTTGTGTTGATCTTGCACATGACAAATAAACCAAACCTAACCTGAACTGTATCAGTTAGCATC